AGCCCTGTGAAATTTGGGGTATCAGCAGGTGAAATAAACTGCCAAGAGCAGCATGTTCAGATTTACCCTCCAGTCAGCATCACAAATAGGGAATTCAGCCCTTCGGATGTGGCACAGAGGAAAATCTTTCAGCACTGAACAACTCTTTCCCTCTGCAGTAACTGCAATACAACCTATTGCTATATAATAATATGATAGCTATATAGAACAGTAGGATAATATACAGTATAACAATACATAGTATAGTATATTATACTTGTTGCTTTTTATTAGTATATTAACCAATGACAAGGTGCTGGATCGCACCACTGAACTGACTGCTTTAAAATTGTGCTTGATACTTCCCAAACTCTTCCATTCTGATCTTTTGTGGCAGGATGGTGTCTCATTTCTATGGAAATGGAGATGTTTGTGACTTGACAGACAAGCCCAGGCAGGTGACTGTGAAATTGAAGTAAGTGAACTTTTATTACAAGGTGATGTTTTGTGTCTGTTTCCTGGGTCAGGGGGGAAAGCTGCTGCTGTTGTCACAAGGCTGAGATGGCCTTAGCTGTCAACTTAATAAAATGTTGCAGACAGCAGTGAAATACATGTTACTGTGTGCTTGTTGCCTGCCAACCCCCCAATTTCCCCTCCATTTTCAGATGTAAAGAATCAGACTCCCCTCACGCTGTGACCATTTACATGCTGGAGCCTCACTCTTGCCAATACATCCTTGGGGTAGGTACAGACACGCCCTGAGGTCAGGGCTGGCCCTAGAGCACATCTCCAGGGTTATGTTTAAGGTGGCCCCTTTCTCCCAGTGACTGTTCCCAAGATTCCTGCAGGGCTGAGTTCATGGTTTGGTCTCTCTGTTCCAGGTGGAATCTCCAGTCATCTGTAAAATCCTGGACACAGCAGATGAATACGGGCTCCTCTCAGTGCCCAGCTGAGGACAGCAGAGCCCCCAGGGCCAAATCCTGGCATTCCCATGGGAACAGTGTCTGTGAGCTGACAAAGGCCTCACCAGCACAGCTCTCCAAGCTGAGGGACTCGTGAACCACTTTGTGTATAACTATGTGTATATAAGAGCTTATTGATAAACTTTTAATGATTAAAACCTTGTCTTGCACTTCCTGCCTGGCTCGTGTGTGGCACGTTCCCCCCTCGCTGACGCCATTGTTAAGGTGTAAACTCAACTCAGAAAAGGCACAAAAATTACTGAAGCTTCAAGGGAGGAGCTCAGCTGCCAACAGAAGGAAAAAGTGAAGCCAACACTTCCTGCTCAGGAGCCGCAGCACCACTCATGGTTTTCATACTGTTCCTGCTGTCTCCCAACACCAATGTTACCTCACTGTAACTGCTGGGAATTGTATTCTCCTGTCACTGTACCTCACCCCTCTTCAGCTGCTCTTTCTGGGCTGCTTCCTAGGGCATTCAGTTTATTTATTTATATTTAACACTGTAGGGACTGTTATTGTGCTGAACATCATTCCTGCCACCAGGTCCAGTTCCCTGTAGTGTGTCCACCTCGCCAAGAATATTTGGGAAGTTTTAATTTGCTGGCACCAGACATTCCTAGAAGTAAATGGTGAGGGATCAGGTAAGTTGAAATACTGCTGACAGGAGGATCTGAAGTAGATTTACATTATATTTTTGAACAAGTTTGTAATGGCCAACACCCAGCAGAGCCTGGAACGTCTGGGGCTGTAGCAACAGTGTCCGGTCGGTGCATGTTGGTCACTTCCTTGTGCCCACCACACTTCTCCTTTCTGCAGCCCTTGTGCAAGGCACAGGAATTTCTGATGGCTGCAGGGCAGGAACCTGCCAGCCTCGTGGCAGATGAGTGGGCATATAATGCCCAAAATACTCCCCTGGGCTGTCCTGGTGAGACATTATAGTGTGTCACCAAGCAGAAAATCCAAACAGCAGCAGCAGCATGATTTGGCATTTAAATTGACACTGCTCTTGCTCATACCCCAATTTCTGAGGCTCAGTGAGGTGGCAGAGGGAGCTGGAAAGGGGGAAAAATCTTTTACGTAGATAATTTCCCCATGGAACAGTCTTGTAGCCAGATTCCCCCATTCCCAGCCTTCCTGCCAGCACAGTGCAGGAAAAGATGGAATAATTTCACCTGCTGCTGCCTGCACAAGGGGCTGGCTGGATCCCCTCGTTGTGGCTCCGAGCTGCACAATCCCTTGGGATGGTTTTAGTTTGGATCAAAGCTGCCCTGATGGAAAGCTGGAGCCCCCCACCTCTGGGCAGCCTCAGCATCCCTCAGGCTGTGCCAGGGGAGGGAACACAACACAGTGACTCTTCCTGCTCATCCCTCCTTGTGCTGATTAGATCAGAGGACAAGACAAGAATAGTTATTTTGTGGAATGTCCGAATTCCCCTCCTGGGGGGGAAACTCCCTGGAGGGAGGGGGAAGCACATCCCTGACTCAGAAGTCACAGCACCTGGTGCCTCCCAACAGCAGCTTTTGCCACGGTGTGAGCGATCAGGCTCTTGGCAAACCATTGACTCCAGGGTTTCCTCAAGGTGTTCCTCAGCCCTGACTCCCCCTTGCACAGGAGGCTCCACACTCACAGCTATTCCTGCCTGGAATCTGGGCTGTCCCAGCACCCACATCCACCTTCAAAAGAAACATAATTTGCTCTCCCATACCCTCCTGACCAACAACTGGCTTAGATTTGCTCCTACACCTTCAGGAAGCACAGCTGTTTCACACAGACAAGTGCATTTCCATTTATCCAGCACCCAAATCCAAGCCCACCTTAATAAGAAAAGCTCCTGGGTGGTCTGGCCTCCTCAAAGCTGGTGCTGATCCTGTTTGGATTTGAGCAGCTCCTGTGCAGGTTCAGCTCTCCTCCATTAAGCAATATTTCCAGAGCACAAAACCCCTTTTCCTGCAGAGAGAGACAGAACAAGTGGCACATGACCTGTTTAGGGAATTAATACATTGATCCTGCTCATGGCCACATGGTGTGGACCTTCCTTGCTCACTCAGACCTTTCTTGTGTCCTGCTCTTACCTCAATTCCCAAAATAAGACATTGCTTAAAAAAATGTGCAGAGAATGTATTGGATTAAATAAATGACAGAATAATTTCAGCACAGGAAGTTGGTGGAATAACGGTGCTTGTACCAAAAAGCTGCCTTTTTAACTCTGTCCCTTCCAACCATGATTTTGCTGGCCCCTGTCCTAGGATGCAGCTGTCCCATCTTCCCAAAGCAAAGCACAGCCCAAGGCTCATGAGCAGGCCTGCTGTACTCAGGTGGAGAATTGTCCTGCTACAGGGCACCACCCCACACTGACAGCAGGAGCAAAACTCTTCCCTGACATCCCAACTTATCAATTTCCCTTTTATGAAAGCAGGTTGGGATCTGTCTGAAGAAGGGATGACTGTGGGGCAATTCCCAGAACCTGCCGCAGCAGGGAAGGGCACGGTCAGACCAGACAGACAAACAGCACAAACCTTGGGTTTTCCAGCCCCCAGGGCTGGACAGAGCGGCACCTGCACTGCTGTGAGAGATTCCAGTCACTGCTGGTTGCAAAAGAGTGGAAAAAACCACAATTGGAAGTGAGATAAAGGCAAGCTCTGGCCCCAGTGAAAGCTCCAGGTAATAATTGAGGGTAAGGTTCTTATCCAGGTGTCCCTGTGGGGCATCAGCTGACCCCAGGATGTGTGATGGCCTCTCCTCTGAGCTCCCTCCCCACTCAAGCTGTTTTTACATTATTTTCTTTGAGGGAGAGGCAAAGCTGAAGTTACATTTGATGTCATTTCATGGTCATGAGGAGTTTGAGTGCCTTTGGTCACCAGCATGGGCTAACAGCACAAGTAACCTGAATTTCTGGGTTAATGAAGGCAGAGTCAGCTTTGGCTGGATCACTCCTTTGGCTCTGCTCCCCTTAGCAGTGTTGTTTTTGACAGAGCATGACCACAGCACCGGGGTGTTGCTCCATTCTTTGCTCTGTGTTCTCCTGGAAGGATCACTCCGAGCTCCCTCAGCATTCCTGCAGTCTGAATCCCTGCTGGATTCTGGCCAGCCCATGCCCTCCTCGCTGAGCTCGATTTCTCACTTTATTCCCCCACCTATGATGCCGAGGCAAACCTCGGGACCACGCAGTGATGCATTAAACGAGCAACTTCCACCTTTTATTTCCCCCTCGGGCACGGGTTGGGCAACGCCCGAGAGCGGCGCGAAGGGGAAAACTTGGCGGATTTCCTCGGGGAGCATCATCTCCGGCACCTCCTCCTCCTCCGGCGGGCACAGGGCAGGGGGCGAGGCTGGGCGGGCTCGCATGCACCCTCCGCTCCAGCCCCACAAAAGGCACCGGAGGCAGCGGAAAGGGTGGAAGGAGCATCCAGGAGAGCAGGTATAGGGGGCAGAGGGTGGCTGGAAGCGAGGAGAGAACTGTGCGATAAATTAAAATGCTTATCAGACCCCCGGGTTCCTGTGGGCTGGGCTGGGGGTGCTGCTGGCAGTGGGGACAGAGCTGGGAGGTCACTGATGTCCCTTCCCTTCAGCTGGGCAGCAAAGGGCACTGTGGTGACACAGGTTACTTACATGGAGCTCTGCACCTGCCTTTGCCATCCCATGCCCTGCTCCCAGGAAAACTTTGACAAGAAAGGCCAGAAAAATGGGCACTGGTAAATCCAGGGCAGGGCAAAGCTCCAGGGCTGGGCTCAGGGGAAGATCCGGGGTCACACAGTTACGTGGAGCTCCCTGGGGTGACACTGGAGTGGCTGAGCAGGTTTTTTTTGTTTGGTTGCCGTGCACTGGGATGGGAGACATAAAACCTGAGTCCCACGGAGCCATGAAGGGCATTTCTAATTGTCTTGGTTTGAAAAGACAGGCGTGTGCTAAGGAAGGCAGGAGCCTCTTTTAAAATGGAAATGCAAACCCTCTTCCTCCAAATTATTATAATTTGATATGGACTTCAAGCAAATTTGGATTATTTTAAAGGGCATTCATTAACATATTATAATGATGGATTTAACATTTATTTTCTCCAGGATGAAGATCCTTCCTGGCTGCCTTCATTTCTACTTCATTCCTTTCTTACTCAGCGGGGCACATGGATTCCTAACGTGGAGAACACCTCCAGCCTTCCTGGTTTACAACTACTCCTATTCAAATCTCTCCTCTGTCTCAGAAGCACGGGCTCCAAAAACAGCAAGAGCTCTCAATTTCTCACACAATGCCATTGAAAAAATTACCAAGGGAGACTTGGAAGGATTTGACTGGCTGGAAGTTCTGGACTTTTCCTACAATCGGATCAGGGCTGTTGAGCCTGGAGCATTCCAGAGTCTGCTCAGCCTGGCTTCTGTGGATTTATCATTTAATGATGAGAAGCTGCTTCTGTCAGATCTCCCACCCCACCTGAAGCTCTCACCTGCTGGCAAAGCTCCGAGGTCTTTGCAGCTTTCCAGGAATTCTGTCAGATCCTCAGGGGCTGCTCTGGAGCCTTCTGCTCCTACAGCAGAGCTGTCACGTTCTGGAGTTCGGTCTCTCCTGCAAATCCTTAGCCCCAGGCTCAGGAGAAGCCCAGGAAATTTTCTTAGGAAGGGAGAGAGGAACTCAACAGCCCTTCCCACAGCCACACCTGAGCCCACCCTCTGTGGAACTCCCATCAATGGGACACTCAACCTGTCCCACAGCAACCTCACCCAGGACGAGCTGATGTTAAAATTGGATGAGGATCTCTGCAAAGCCCAGCTGGACGGGATTTTGGAGCTTGACATCAGTCACAACAACGTGGAAATGGATCTTCTGTATCTGTTTACCCTGTTCTTCCACATGGAAAACACGCTGTCCATCGATGCCAGCTTCAACAAGTTAACCATTAACATCCTGGATCCTTCGTCCTTCTGTGAGTTCCCATCCCATCAGCTTTTGTTCCTGAACATCAGCAACAACCCCATCAACAGCCTGGATACGCTGTGCCTCCCTTCCAGCATCAAGGAAATTGATTTGTCCTTCACCAACATCAGCCAAATACCCCCGAATTTTGCTAAAAAATTGGTTAACTTGGAAAAAATGCATGTTCAAGGCAACCACTTCATCTACAGAGCGTTCTCAGAAAGCGAGAACGCACTTCCAATGTGTGTCCCTCCCCCTGGAACTGTGCACATCAACGCCATCTCCTTTGTCAGGAAGGAGGTGGGGACACCCATTGAAAGCCTTCCAGACAAAGTGAAACACCTGGGGATGTCCAACTGCTCCATTGTGGAGCTGCCAGAGTGGTTTGCTGACACAGTGGAAGAACTGCTATTTCTGGACCTCAGCAGCAACTTCATTTCTGTACTTCCCAATTTCCCCCCCTCCCTGCAGCATCTCGACATCAGCAACAACGACATCAAAGTCATCTCCCCCAGCCTGAAATCCCTCTCCAACCTAACAATATTTAGGATTCAAAGTAACAAAATTACGGGTGTACACACAGAGCTTTTTCCACCAGCCTTAAAAAAATGTGATCTTAGTAAAAACAAGGTGAAGGTGTTGTCCTTAACTTCTGCCCTGGAGAAGCTGGAACACCTCAATGTTTCTGGGAACCTGATCACACGTCTGGAGGCTGCTGGCCACCTTCCTGCACTGACCAGCCTGGACAGCAGCCACAACCTGATCCCAGAGCTGCCCGATGGCTTCGGGGCATCCCTCCCAGGGCTGAAGTACTTCAACCTGTCAGGGAATAAGATCTCCTTTCTGCAGCGTGGCTCTCTCCCAGCCTCTCTGGTCGAGCTGGACATCAGCGACAACGCCATCACCACCATTGTGGAGGCCACGTTCGGCCCGCTGACGAGCCTCAGGCTTCTGGCTGTGCAAGGGCACCACTATTTCTGTACCTGTGACCTGTACTGGCTGGTGAACGTCTACCTCCACGATCCCCAGCTGGAGATCAGGGGCAGGGGGGCCATGAGGTGCAGCTTCCCCCCGCAGCGCCGGGGCTCCCTGGTGGGCAGCAGCCGCCTGACACTGCTGCGCTGCTCCCTGGCTGTGCAGCTGGCCGTGACCGCCGCCGCCGCCAGCCTGGCCGTGCTGGCCCTCACCCTGCTCTGCTGGAGGCTGGACGGGCCCTGGTACGTCAGGATGGGCTGGTACTGGTGCATGGCCAAGAGGAGGCAGTATGAGAAGAGGCCAGAGAACAAACTCTTTGATGCCTTCATCTCGTACAGCGAGCACGATGCCGGATGGACCAAAGAGAACCTGCTGAAAAAGCTGGAAAATGACGGGTTCAGGATATGCTACCATGAGAGGGATTTCAAGCCAGGGCATCCTGTGCTTGGGAACATTTTTTACTGCATAGAGAACAGCCATAAGGTGCTTTTTGTTCTCTCTCCCAGCTTTGTGAACAGCTGCTGGTGCCAGTATGAGCTGTATTTTGCCGAACACCGGGTCCTGAACGAAAACCTGGATTCGCTCATCATGATCGTGCTGGAAGATCTCCCACCCCACAGCGTCCCACAGAAATTCAGCAAACTCAGGAAACTGCTGAGAAGGAAAACTTACTTGAAGTGGAGCCCTGAGGAACACAAGCAGAAAATGTTCTGGCATCAGCTAAAAGCTGTCCTAAAAACAACCAACGAGCCGCTCGTGAGAGCCGAGAACGGATCTGCTCTGGAGATGCAGGAGCTGGAATGAGACCCACGGAACTCTGAGGGCTGTGCCTGGACAGCCTGTGGTCAGATAAAAGCATTTACCTCCTGCAAAGGCTGCTGTGATGCCCAGGGGTTTGTCTGGGAGACTGCAGCACACTCGTTATTCCCTCTGATAAAGAATCCAGACCCGAGCACTGATAAAAAGTGATAAAAAAGATTTTCCTCCTGGATGCTTGAATTTGACCAGCTATTCCCAGCATTTCTTTAAGTGCTGTGGATGTGACCTGAAAGGAAGAACTGCTCAGGTCATGCTGCATGTCCTTGCTGCCTTCCTGAGGTGGTGGCAGTGAGGAGTGGTGTCTTAGGACTGATTCCCAGTTCTGGGACACTTAAGGTGGGAACACGCCCTGTGTGCAGGTAGGAGAGCCACAAACCATGCTGGTGCACAGGGAGCAGCTCCTTCCTTTGCTTTGGCAAGGGAAGAGTAAAGATTGACTTAATTTAGCCCTCTGAGGGAGGCTAAACCCACTCTGCTACAGACTGTGGGTTCAGTGACTGCTGCAAGAGATGAGACTTGAAAATCTTTTGTAAATTCAGAATAAAATATACAACCAGACAGTACAAAAAGGACCAGCTGAGTGTTGTGGTCTTTGCTGTTAAATGACTGGGGTGAGCCTTGTTTAATCACAAATCTCTGGGGAATAAGCAAGTTGTGTACATTATTGTTTAGATTTAGGAAAGTTCACACAGTCACCCTGACCCACTTCCAGTGGATTCAGTACTACCTCTGCATGGGCCTTGCCCTCACTTAGTGCCACTTGATAATTTTATTTATTGTGCTTGGGAAAAAACAAAAGAAACTCAGCTGATCCAACTCTCACATTCAAGGGAAATCAACAGACTGTGACAGAAAATAAACACCAGGTGAGGACAAACTATTTGGTTTAGCATGACTTGGACTTGCTCCTGTGATGAGCAAACACAAACAACTTCCCAGCAGAAAATCCCCAGTCCAGGAATGCAGCATGTTTGGAACACAGACTGTGAAAAATTCCTTTTCCAATTCCAGTTCCTGGCTCTGCTGTGACAAAACCAGACCAACACCAACCTGTTTGCTGCCAAAAGGGAGAACATGCAAAAAACATCTCCACTGACCAAGATCCCTTGGAACTCAGTGCAAACCCACCTTTCCTCAGCAAAACTATTTGGCATCATCAGCTTTGAGGTTTTGTATATGAGGATAAAACCCACAATCCTGCAGGCCAGCAGCTGAAAAAGCCAACTCTTCACCACAGAGATCTAGGGCTTAAAAAGACTGTGAATTATAGAAATATTAAATATTTTTGTTCATTTAAGCAACCAGAAGTCGCTTGTTAATGAGATTAATGAGCCACAAGTAATTAATCAGTTGTTTTTCTAATAACCTTTATGCTTTCCTCTTTCTAAAGCACTCAGTGGTCACATTTCTCACTTCCTCTCTTCCCACAGACAGAGAAGTTGCACATACAGCAAACCCCCAGAACTGCCTCTTGTATATTTTTCCCTCCAGTACGATTTGTACTGAAGAGAAATTCAAATACAGAACAGCCAAACAAGATCTCTTCATTATCTTTTGTGCCTAGTTTAGAAAGAACCACATTATTCATTTAGAGAAAAAAAAAAATCTGGGCAGAGAGAAAAGATTTATGGAAATAATTTCCATTTTACATTTGTATTAGAAAGTTGTTCACACTGATTTTATTGCGAGAAAGCTGGTTTGAATTATTCAGAATTAATTAATATTCAGTGTTAAACAAAAAACAGTGTTCCAGGAGAATCTTGAGAACAGTTTAGTTAACAAAAAGCCTGAACCAACAACTCACAGACAGCAATGATGTGGACATTTTTTGTCTCTAAAGTAACAAATCACATTCCCATCACTGTCATTTTCCTGGAGATGTGGCACTTTCCCATAGCAAGGCATCAAAAGCCTGTGGCACAATTATTTTGGAGACACTGCTGAAGTCCACAGAAGCTGAAAGGTGATTGCTTATTTGGAAGAGATGTGGCCACTTAGAGCAAGAAATGTCTAATTTAAATTAGACAGGGGGCAATTCAGGGGAATTTAAATGCCCCTGAATTGTTCTGCCTCCCATGGAATTCCCACAATAAGATACAACACAAATGGGTAAATTTATTAAAAAATACTTGACTTCTGTTATTTGCTCACTGTGTAGACCAACAGACAAAGTTTCTAAGCAGACAGATGAACTCAAACTGATGTTAAGACTTAACAAAACTTCAAAAACTTGTCATTCTGGTTTTAGAAATGTTAGCAGCTGTCAGTTCTGACCGTCAGGAATGGCCAAATCCCAATTTATACAAAGTCATGGGCAAAAGAGCAAGCAGCAACACGACTCTGTGCCTGACAGCTGACCAGTTAGGGAATTCCAGAGGTGACTGTGCTCCTCCTGGTGTATCAGTCACATAATATTGCAAAACTTTATCCTCAAGTAAATGCATATAATTAGGTAGTGCACGGTTATTTCTATCAGATGTAAAACACTTCTCCAAATTATTTTGGGATACAGAATGCCACCATCATTAAAGTCAATGCCCAGCAGGTATTAATATATGTACTGCAGAGGTTTGTCCCAGGGCCACACTTCTCAAATGTCCCTCCCCAGAGGAAATAGAACACTGACCAAACAAAGAAGCCAAAACTGAAATCCTGAACTTCAGCTGAGTTCATAGAAATTTTGCCATTTACCTCCACAGAAGCAGGGTTTCACCCTGTGAAGATAAAGGACTTTTGTTAATACTGAAAAACATTGATTCTTCCAACCTCCTGCAATGGGAAGAGTTTAAACTCAAATACTACCAAGCATCTCCCCAGTTCTTCCTTCCTGAAAAGACAAGGTATTTATAAAACTTGGTGTTGTCATAGGATGGTTTGGGTTGGAAGTGACCTTAAAGATGATCCAGTTCCAGGCATCACCTTCCCCTGCCCCAGGTTACCTCGAGCCCGGTCCAACCTGGCACAATGACATAATGAACCACACAATCATGGCATCTAGGGTTTTTTTACTCGCCTAGCAGTAAAACTTAGTAACAAACCCAAAATATCCCCCTTGCTGGCTCTCCACGGCAACTCCAGAGCGCGTCAAGGAGGCGACAGCCCCGCGTTCGCTTCCAACGCCAACGGGAGCGGTGTTTCTATTCACCGGCAGCAGCAGCATCACGGAGTTGGGAGCAGTTCCTGTCCAGAGCGGAGCGGGAGGCCCTTTGGAAGGGCCGGGAGG